TTTTTTTTTTCTCTTTTGTCAGTTACACGCGTTATTACAAAATAATTTTCTATGTCGCTCCTTGTGTTCGCTATGAGTGTATGAAACACTCACCCCAAACAATTTTTATGCCAATTATTGTATCACCTACCGTATTTACTCGCATGATCCCCGCACTGTTTTTTTATGTTGACTCCGTAGAATCCCTGAATTTTTTAATGTTGTTCTTTATGTTTTTTGTGTCATGTTTTTTTTGTTATGTTTTTTTTATGTTGAAATTGGAACGATTGCACACAGTGTTTTGTGCAAGTGTTGAAGCTACGCATATACTAGTTTGGATGTTGTCAAATTCTTTCGGGAAAGCTTTTGTTTCACCCATTTAAGTGGCATAACAGCCCGTGCATGGAACCTCGTAGTCTAACCCGGGCAATCTATCTTTCGACGTTCCGGACAGTGCGCTGGAAGCTAAGCAGAGAGGGATGGCATGGAGGAAAAAGTTGCGTTACTCAAGTGTCGTGACCTTGAACATCTTTTTTTTTTAATGTGCAGCTTAGCTTCAATTTAATCACAGGTGCAAGCACGTAGTGGCCTTTCTTGGCCTATGGAGCTCACAATGCTCAAATCAGCCAGTGATTGTGGATTTAAGTACACTCGAACCCCTTTATCAGAGACACTGGGTGCTGTAATAGACAGATGGATATAAGAGACACCAGCGTGCTCACATCGAAATAGGGGTTGATACGAAAATGCATATGTGGTTCCTTACTTATTAGAGACATCTTTTATAAAAGACATTAATTGCTTCCCAGCACATGTCCCTTATAAAGGGGCTCAGCTGTATCGGGCATAATATGTTAAAACAATAGGGAATGTTTTCTAGCTGATTTTTACAATTTATTGTAAATTCCAGGCCGCATGCTGAGTTATAGTGCTTGGCTTGCGTGTCCTTAACGACCTTAGCTTTCGATTGCCAATGTTTTCTGACTATGCTGAAAAAATTGTTGCAGGGCCCCTTTAAAGGAAAAGGGACACTGAAGTCCAATTACAGTTTACGTCAGAGGGAAAGCTAAAAGTAGCACAGCATCTAAAATGGCATTATTATCAACAGCAGTGTCCTACTTACCGAGAAATTAAGCTAAATGTACGACACGACAGGCCCACACAAGTAGGATAGTTTAGAAATTACCCTGATGATGTCAGAGCGTCTGATTAGAAATAATCAGTAGTATTCAAAATAGCTGCAATAAAAAAAGAACCTTTCGTGCATGACGAGATATAATAAAATACCGCTTGTCCATTTATGTTTGACTTATGAAAAAAGAACTGCCTGGCGTTACTACGGGGAACGACGCAAGTGGTTCGGAAGTTTCCTTTTTGCCTGGTCATGCTGGATAGGTGGTGCCATCTAGCAGAGCCCACTTGAAGGAAGCAAGGAAATTATGGCCTCCGAGATGGCAGAAAGTTGTTCAATGGCCGTTGTTGCTGCTGTGGCTCCCGATACTTTCACTCTGCTACTATTAGTGCCGGCAGCTGCGCAGCAAAGCCGAGCAATGGTGTGCACGACAACAGTGACATGGGACTGACCGCTTTCAGGCAGGAGATTTGAAACGCACTAACGCCATGCGGACTGCTAAAGCATGATTTTATTTCAACATGACCACTTTCTTGGCACAAAAGTAGCACTACGAGGCTTCTTGACTGCTATTTCAGCAATCAGCATCGACTTATATTTACCTTTAGTGTCCTTTTAAGTTGACTGGTTGCTGGGTTTCCTGTTAGGTTGAATTTTGTGCTTTGAATGACGTTTGGCAGCTGTCACTTGCTGTTTGTGCAATACTGTACTGGACTAGACCAAACTTTATTTAGAACCTGCAGATTGGTGTCCTGCCCTAGGCCACCTGGGTGCTGGTGGCAAGGTTTAGCCTATCTATGGCTCTCCAGGCCTGCTAGATGGCCTATATTTGGTCTTTGAGCTAGCCAGAGCGTTGTGCCAATGCACCCCTAGTAGGACCGTGTTTTTGTGATCGAAAAGCTTTGTAGCGTATGTATGTGGTTGATGTGTACTGGATTTTGAGAGGTTCTCGATTGCGGACATTTCCAGCCTACTTATATTCCAATTTATCTGATTTATTGTGGATTTGCAAGTATTTCACTTTGTTTTTTGTTGTATATCAATATGTCATGGAAGGTTAGCAGGCTATCCTTATCATTTTTTAGTTATATCAGCTCCCCTGGAGTCATGAGATTAGTGTTCCCTGTCATGATTGGTGAGTTTTCATGTGGCAAGGAGGGCTTTCTCATTTATGATAGGGGGAGGGTGGACCGAGTTCTCATCTTCTCCTATGTGCACCGGGATCCATTTAATTTATTTGGGTGTAATGACTACATTCTTAAAGTCCTCTGCCTTGCTATTCAAAATCCTGGCCACATCGCCAGAGATCCACCTGGTTGTGTACTTTCTAATTGCTGGTTTAGAGTAGGCTGACACTATCCCTCTTTTCATTTCGGGCACCACGGTCATGAAAGGTGCCTTTTCAGGGTACCTGGCTACATTCATAAATAGAAAGTTTTAGTTCATGCTATAGCTTTTCATGATTGCTTTCGTTCTGGGTTTCCTCCGTTCTACTTTGTAGATTCTGGGCATGTTTCTCGGTGATGCTTTGATGGTAATTTTGGCTCAAATATGAACTGGAGTATCTCTTTAAGACCCTCAATTTCGAGATAGTATACGTTGAATTTTTCCGTGAATTATCTGCCTACTTACATGCCTTGTGCTTCAATTATTCTGCCACACGCATTGTGGACCCGCAATTTTTTTGTTGCTGGTGTACGAGAGGGAGCCCTGGAGCTAACTTGTTGGCTTTTCATATGAGTGCATCTCTCTTGTCATTTTTCACTAGTTCTTTTCACTTTGCTCTATTGAAGAAACGTTGCTACGAATATGGTATGGCTTATCAAAAAAGCTGAAACCATACAGACACTGTTCCTCTCCTTGATTTTCTTCATTCCGTTGGTAACTCTTTATATTAATCTAATCGCTGTCATGGTTTTATTGAAATGTGTCATTGTTTCATCACCTTTGGTCACCTTCGCACCTTTGGTCTCCAGCCAAAGCCCTAGGATTTATATGGGTTTCGCAATTGGGATCGTCAGTATGCCATTCTTGGTGATTAGACTGATTTTTTTATCTGGAAGTGATTGGTTCCGTAGGGTGGAATAGTAAGAGCTGTGACTTCTTTAGAGAGCTTTGTGTTGGCGAGGTAGCAATCTATCGCCTCTGCTACGCCCTGAAGTTCTGACTTCATTTGTCACGCATTAGTGTTATAATTTGTCAATACCATAAAATTATTCTTCTATACTGATTTATTGATTCCTTTGGGGTTGTTGAACTTTTTGGGTAGTCCAGTCATTATGAGGTATCCATTGGGGATTAAATAATCGTCTTGCAACTAATGCTTCACTGCAGTTCACATCTTTATAGTGGTGCGAACCAGCATATAACATTCTTTCATATGAAGGATGAAGAAAATGAGAGTCGACCAAAGCAAAAATATTTTATTAAAATATATTTGGTTTTCTTTGTCCATGTCATTTTCTGGCCAGGTGTGATCCTTGACTTCTTTCATATGAAGTACCTGAAATTGATGGCTGCTCTGTAACTGTTGGTCTTGTCGCCTGTTTACAATCAGGACAGCATTTCTTGTTTGCACACTGGTAAGAATATGCACCAAAATGTTAGAGTTATGACTGTACTGCTCCAAGTAATCCCAAATGTTCTTTTGTCTTCTCCAAACCTCTTGCAAAACACAATTCCTCCAGTTCTACAGCCGCTTATCAACACAGTTTCATTCGCTCCAAATCTGCCCCAAAACAGCTTGTTTTCTGCTCTAAAAATGGCACTAGAACTTAAATTGACAGAACCAATACTGGTGTTCCTTTAAGATTTTTCTCTATAACTACAGATCACAGTCTTTGCTTGAGCTTAAAATTCTTCTTCATGGTCATGCCTAATGCTATGGCTATGAAAGTCTGCTCACCAAATGAAGCTGTGTATTCCAAGTACTAGTATGCGTACGTTTATTGTGATAGCAATTATATGGACACTCTTAGCTGGATTTTACCGCCGGCATCGGCAATGGCATCCCCGTCACTCAACGTATATGCATACGTAGTATCTACATATATGAAAACACTAAAAAGAAAAACAATTCAGAAAAACACTCCGGCATGCAGAATCGAACGTGGAACCTCTGAAGTGTGAGTGCGAGGCGTTAACCACTGAGCTATGAAGGAGCACCTCCTTCAACGTTCGAATGGCAAGCTATTTATATCTACCATTACCGCTGGTGACAGGCATCTCGGGGGAACTATCATGTTTTCAGCATTACCAGTGAGACGGCGATATGAGCCCGCGTCGCCACATCATCACGATGCGACGGCGCACGCTCTCATCTCCCGCACGTACGTGTCGTGCGAAGAGGAGGGGGGTGGATGCACACTCGTGTGCCCTTATCTCGCGGTTGGGAAGATTTTGGGTTGGGGAAAATTTTGTATGTTTTGGCTGGCCTTGAGCTTTCACCGGAATGATTTTGTTGTAGTTACTGGGTGCACAAAGGTCACTGCAATCGTTGCACAGTCTCTGTTTGCGAAAAGGGTGTGCTTTTTAGACACAGCAAAGTGACAACTAAGACGCTTATTCGCGTTGATCTGTACCTGTGAATACTTTTCAAGCATCATTTGTGCGTGAGAAATGTGGGGCATGTTTCGATCTGCTTGCCATTCTGCACGTGACTTTCCAATCTAATGCTATCACGTTCATTGCTTTGCCTTTGAGGCAAAGCTGTGGCTTTTTTATTTCTGCTGACTTCAGTGGGCATGCCATCAGCTTAGTTTTAACTGTTTTGATTCCAGTGGTTGCGAACCTAAGCGACTTGATGTGTAGCGGTTCAGGGCAGCAACAAGTGTTCAGCTTCACGTTTCCCACGGGTATTGTAGCTTGCCTTGTTTCTTGTTCCCTGCAGAAGAAACGGGAAGGCCCCGAAGGTCAGAGCCTACACCATGCCCCAAAGGCCCCCCCTGGAATTAGTGTGCACCAGCTGGAGGCACACATGCATACAACCTTGCAGATTACACCTTTGCCTGTGAGTAGATTGAAAGCTAGGGCTGAAGCTCTGGGAATGTCGGTTTACTACTTCTTTTTCAGTGCACTGCAAAATACATCTATATGTTACTACTGCTAGTTCATTAAACAGGAAAGCTGAAAAAAAATAGCAAGGATGAAGGAAACTATGTTTATGCAAGAAAAATATTGTGATGCCATAACAGTGATCAACAATCCATGCCATTTGGCTATGTAATACAAAGCCATGCATCAGAACCTAAAGGTGTCAGACAAACTTGTTTAGTTAAGAAGACTCCCACTTACCAAGAAAAAGTGCAGTGATGTAGTGCTACGATGCACGCTTTTAGCATTTTTATATTTGTATAATAAGCACAGTAGATAAATATTAAATAGACTGTTTTGGTAGCCTCACTTTCAATGTACAAATGAAAGGCAACATGGCTTTCACTGCTCCTATCAGTGGCCAAATAAAACACAGTTAAGAAAGGAGATTCTGTTCATCAATGTCGGTTCCCGATTAGAAGACAGTGGCCTCAAGCACAACTAAGTAAGCAAAACATTTGGAGCTGGCTCAGGCTCACTCAACAAATAAAATCTGCTTTGAGGGCGCTCTCGGGCTCGCCAAATTTTGCCTGAATTGGACTCACTAGCTCTGAAACTCGCCAAGATATTACTTTGACTCACCGCTGAAACTAAGCCTTTACAAGAGAGTCCGTGAGCATAAAATAAGCTTTTCTAATCATTGTGTCACCGCTCTTTAATGCTAACATCTCACAAAATTGATGCTCAACGATACACCTTTTGATTGTATATTGTCAAATTTAAGCTATCAGTAATTGCGATTGTGTAAGGACATTGTTGTGAAAAAGCGTATGCAATATCTGGTTTATTTTTAAAAAACTGTGCCAAGTCATCCAATTTCCATAGAATCAAATGTACTGCAAATACTCTGCAAGCATTTTTTTCAGCTACGTTTTACAAAGTGAACATTTCATCTCAATTAATCATGAGCAAGAAGAGTTATGCGTTAGTATGTTTTTTTGAAACAGTTGAAGCAGTTGACCATTCCAGATCCTTTCATTCTCGGTACAGCTTTTAAGGGTAAACCAAACATTGGATGTACCTTCTCTGTTGATGTCAAGGATCTTCATTGTTTAGTGCCTCAGCATAAAGAGCCTTTGTAAAAGCATGCATAAAGGAAAACGCAGGGATTTATTTCCAGAATATGGTGGGCATCAGTTCTGATAACTTTTTGACTTCACTGGAGACCTATTTGCACTGTACTTTCATTTCACTTGAAGAGCAACTTTTATTGCAGAGGAATGGAATCTGCATTGGCTCTTGCATAGCACCAGTACTATGTAATAATTTTCTGTCCCAAATTGACTCGGCACTGCACCACTTTTTTAACGGGAGAGAGGAGAGAGGGTTTCACACGCTTTTAGATATGTGAATGACTTTTTAGTAATTCTTAGGCCACAGGTCAGGAACTTTACAGGGACACAGGGACAAGGTGGACATAATTTTAGAGCTTTGGAACCTGCATGAGAAGGGATTGTGCTTCACACACGAACTTTCTATGCAGGGTTCACTGTAGTTTTTCGATATTCATTTTAGCTATTTGATCAGGACGACACTTGCACTGGTCATACTACCGCGATTCAGAAAATAACAGAAGACAGAAATCCAGTGCGACAAGGAAAAACCAAGGTCTGTATTTACAAATCGCAAGCCAGAACGGAAGGCCCAACGTCGTCTTCCTCAGATCTGAGTAGGGATTGTTTCTCGTACTCGTTACTTCATTGTCCTCGGCCATCCTGACGGATTTTAATCATGACATCAGCCTCCCTTCCAATAAAGCATCGTCCCGATGCTTCATAATCACAGCTGTTTGTATATCTGGTAGCGCATGAGTTCTTTCGGACAAATATGGTTTCATTCGAAACACGCGCATGACTTTTGGTGCATGCCTTTGGCATTTTGAGCAGTGCACACTATCGGGAACGACCTCATAGTTAACGTTACTAAGGCGTCGCAGAATTTTATACGGCTCGAAGTATCGTCTTGAAAGTTTTTCCGAGAGGCCATGACGCCGAATCGGAGTCCAGACACAGATTTTCTTTCCCAGCTCACTCACTCAGCTCACTCACTCAAGCAATATATTTTGTGCAAAGGGCTCACTTACTTAGACTCTGACTCACCAATATTTTCCTCAACCTGTCTCACTCAGATTCAGACTTATTAAAATTTTATTGTGATAGCAATTGTATGGACACTTTTGGCTGGATTTTGCCGGCGGCGTGGGCATCGGCGTCAACGTAGACGTCGGCGTCGACATGGACGTTGGCGCCAATGTCATGCACCGTATATGTATACGTATCTATATATATGAAAACGCAAGAAAGGAAAAAATCCCAGAAAAAAGATTTCAGCGTGCGGAATTGAATGTGGGACCTCCGTGTTGTGAATGTGAGACGTTAACCACTGAGCCACTGAAGGGTACCTCCTTCAACGTTGAAATGGCAAGCTATTCATATCTACCACTTACCGCTGTTGGCGAGCATCTTGGGGGAGAACTATCATGTTTTCAACATTATCAGCAAGATGGCACATTTTATTTTTTTATTTACAAAATACTGTCAACCCTCCTTGAGGGCTATTACAGGAGTGGAAAAGATACAAACCTTTTACAAGCAAGGCAATGCAGTGGCAATACAAGAAGAGTACATAAGAAACAAACACAAGGTAATGACATCATGACGTGCAAGCGTCGCGATCGTGGTACTAACTAATGCATACATTATACAGGAATAGTAATACATTGCCCACAACCAAGTGATAAAGAAAATAAAATAGATTGTTAGATTGTGGATGCTTTCACCCGTATGCAATTACGTTAGCACATAGAACTTGGGGGGACCGCCATGAGATTTACATTTCTTTCTAAAAAATTTTAGAGTGTTGCCTGTGCTACAGTAGCTGAATCAAGCGCATTCCACTCTCTTATTACGCGAGGGAAAAATGAAAACCTGAAGGTATTGTTGCAGCACAAATATTTTTCGAAGATCAGGTCGTGTTTTTGGGGCACTTTGCCTCTTGCTTTTATAGTAGCGAAGGCGGAAGCACTAGTTTCAAAGTGGCCATTCAACAATTAGTAAAAGAACTTCAACCGATGTAATTTTGCTCTATCGCAGAGCGAAGGTAGATCTGCTCGGAGCAGAAGCTCGGAAGGTGAATCTGTTCGCTTATAGCGGTTAAAGATAAATCTTATCGCCTTGCGCTGCACGCTCTCGAGCAAAGCTATGTCAGTATTTGTTGAAGGAAACCACACTATATTCGCATATTCTAGCATAGGTCTTATAAAGGTAATGTAAGATAAGCACTTCGTATCTGTGGTAGTGTAGCGTAGGGTCCGTTTTAGAAAAAACAACTTGTTCATTGCCTTTTTCGTCACTTGTTGTACATGCGCAGTCCATTTGAGGTCAGATGATATTAAAAGCCCTAAATATTTATACTGGGTCGCTGTGCGAAGGGTGACACCATTAAGCGAGTATAGAAATAATAGTTTGCTTTTCTTTCTGCTTACGTTCATCACGGCCGTTTTTTGAGAATTAATAGCCATCTGCCAATCTTGGCACCACTGTGCTATGTTGTTTAGGGATCTGTTAAGGGCAACCTGATCGTCAATGTGTTTGATTTCACTGTAAATCATGCAGTCATCTGCAAACAGTCTAATTTTAACGTTTACTGATTCAATAATGTCATCAATGAATAACAGGAACAAGAGCGCAGCGAGAACAGATTCCTGTGGAACGCCCGAAAGGACTTTAACAGTGTCAGAATTCTGTCCATTATAGTGCACAAACTGGTGGCGGTCTGAAAGGTAATCACTAATTCATTCAACTATTGGACCATTGCCTAGTTTTTCTGAGTTTAGTGATAAGTTTAGAGTGGGACAACGGTCGAAGATCTTAGAGAAATCTAAAAAAATTACATCGATTTGCGATTGTTCGTTTATTGCCAGCCCGAAGTCATGTATAGCCTCTGTGAGCTGAGTGGCAGTAGATAGCCCACTTATGGGCGTTGTGGTCGGGTTATGGGCGTTGTCGTCGAGAAGACTGTGCCATTGGTAGTTGCTCTTCGTTTTTTGTTTAGCTTCTACAATATTTTTGCTGTCTTCATCTCAAGTAAAAAGACGACCGTTTATCTGAATTCTGTCAAATATAAGCCTTACTCTTTCCCTCCATCGCGGTTTTCTTTCGTGACTTTCTACAGTTTTCTTCTAGTTTCATGCATGCCAATCGAGTAATCCTCGCTTATTGAATAACCGCTCCCTTTGAGTTTGGAACAAGACTGGAGTATTTTAACTTTGTTGCGATAGTCGAGCAACTTGAAAATTATTGGCCTGTTTTTCGGATCGCCTTCTCTAGTTCTACCGAGACGGTGAATACGTTCAATGCCTGCAGTCTTTACGTCTAGGGTATCTTCAAATATTTCCTTTGATATGAGGTTATGAAGCTCTTGAAAGGACTCGTTTTGTTTTCCCTCAACTCTGTACACAATCAGGTTCGACCTACGACTTCTGTCCTCTAGTTCTTCTATTTTCGTGTTCATGCTTTTGATGTTGTTTTCTAGTTCCACTATTCGCTTTACGCAATTAGAAATCTGCTTTTCCAGTCCACTAATTTTTTCAAGTTTCTTATCGATTGCAGTTAGTTTCTGATTTGTGACGGATTTTTCTTTCTTGATTTCCTTTATGTCGTCCGCGATTGCCTTTACTTGCTTTTACCAATTGCCCTCTGTAGGCCCTGGATTAGTTTCTATGTCGCCACTAAGTAATAACAGGTAGCGAAGAGAATTAGTCACGTTAGTAAGCATTTCGCACATTGACCATTGGCATGGCAGCAAGAATAAGCAAACGTTATTGCTACGGTAACACTTTCCGTATCGTTTGCTCACCTGTACGAAAAACAAGATCGGGTTTGAAGACCGTATCATGGCATCGCCGCCATGCCCGCT